GCGTTCGAGATTCGACTCAGAGCACACGGGCTCCCAGGCGTAGTCGTAGAACATTGCGTTCGAGAATAAATGCGTACACTGTGTATCAGAAATTGTGAACTGTACATGTGAGAGTATGAAGGACAATAAACTATTGTGAAGCGTAAACGCAGTGTGGACCTTAACCCGCTCACGCTGACAGAACAAGAGAAAGAAAAAATATTAATACTAATCCCGAATGTAGAGCGACTTTCTTAAAATATTCTGCAAACTAGAAAAATCGAGAAATAACTTATTCAAAAGTTTTAAACGTAAAAAAGAAAAGAAACTTAATGGGGTATATACACAGCAACTGTTTTACAATAGATTTTATATTATACAGGTATAGTTTTTTCTACCAAAATTCTATCAACATTTCAAATAATTAAAGTAACTGATGCAACGCAATATAAACAACTTGTGTCTGTAAAGTTTTTGATATTTAAAAGTACTAGCTGTAACAAAAGGACTATAAAATTTCACCGCCAAATTTATAATTAAACAAACCTAGAATGAATTATACAAACACACGCAGACATCTAGACATAGCCAAACGTAATAATAATGCATACAGAAATTCGATCAACAATAATGATGTCTATAGATATCCGAAATAACAATGACCAGCAAATTCGAGCGGGGAGGGGCTAACGAAGTGTTCGGCGCGGGAGAGAATGCATACGCGCGCCCGGCACGTCCAGCCATTAATTATGGATGGTCCCGTCGCGATTAAGCTGGCCCTAATGAAATATGGCGCTTAATTATTCACTACTTAAACGAGTGAAATTAATACGGCGAATAATAATGCGCCGCCCGGTGTAACAGCCACTGTCGCCGTGGAAATTGAACGTGAGAAATGGAGAGGGATGATGGGAATATTCCTATCCTCGCGCGCGCGCGCGTTTCCCTCTAGTCTTCTTTATCATCGTATTCTGTAAGGAAGGACATTTCGATGGCAATAATTCGCCAAATAGTTGAAAAACGCGTATGGTGGTTCGTGCCTGACATATATACGTAGCAGATATGAATCATGGCAAGTGTGATTGTAGATTATAGAATAATTGTATTGCTATTTATGTATCATAAATTTTTTCCCACTTTTTATGCAAACTAATTCTTTACGCATAAATAAATACATCATATTATATGGTCAATGTTTCTATATACATTAGTAAAAAATAATCGTACAGTGGTTTCTCCAATAGAATCGTAATTACAGATTCGCGAGGCTACCATAATTCAAATAAATCAAATAATGAAATAAATAATTCAAATAAATAAATTTGTTATTAATAAAATATTATATGCTCAATGTTCCTACATACATTAGCAAAAAAATAATCGTACAGTGGTTTCCAATGAAATCGTCATAATTACAAATTCGCGTGACTACCGTAATTCAACCAGTTGAAGTACGTATCGATTTTAAATGAACCCACGGAGAAATCACGTATTTTAAAAATAATTGAAAAATAAACAGAGAGGCTAGAGCATAACAGGCGATTTATTCGCGCGCGAGGACCCCGCGAAAGAGGCGAATCGTTCATCATTGTTGATCCCGCTGTTGCCGAAAGCCGTGCAACGATGTTCAATTTAATGGTTGATGCTTTATTGGATTTCCGTGCAATTGCATTTTTGACTTCGATTCTGCTACTAACGACTACCCTTGTATCGACCTATCCGGTATTGTTCATTGCCTCTTCCTCTACACCGACTCCACGCTAATCCTCGCACGCGCGTAAAAATGGTCCCACGTGCAATTTGAAAAATGCCCACGTCAGCGTGACGCCTTTTAATCGTGACGTACACTATTGCAGTCCAGTTGATTGTCGAATATACATTTATTGACGCATGTTTGGATTGGCAGAGGAGCTTGGAAAAATTTGCGAAGCACTGGCTCGCGAGTATAGAAGAGTAGCGAAATTACATATCTATTATTTCTTTGTTGATACTTTATCAATTTGTAGCAAATTTTCGAAAATATTTTATAAAATATTAATTGCTTGCTACTCCTTTACAAAACAATTTATCGCTCTAGAAACGTATTTGTACACGTATACCACTATCCTAACTATTCTAACCGTTTTTCGAAGGTGAGAATCACGAGAATCCCTATATGTAACAATATAAAAATCGTAGCATGTTATACGTAGAGAAAACATATATAGAAAGAAGATTTTATTAAGTACACACTCACGCACACATACGTACACAGGCATATAGTTTTGTATGTATAAATTTCTCAAAGAAAATATAATACATTACGTATGAATATCAAATTGTTAAGTCCGAAAGACGTTTGCTAAATAAATATTAAACATTAAGTAAAGAAAAATAACAAGAAGATGTCATCGTACCACCAGGAATTACATTTCCAGCACCCTTTGCGCCATATCCAAGCTCAGGCGGTATCGTCAGTCTTCTCCTCTCGCCTACACACATATCCAGGAGACCTTGATCCCAACCTTTAATAACTTGTCCTACACCAAGCTGAAAGGTGAACGGTTGATCTCTATCCAGGCTGCAACAAGAAGAGAGAACAAGTTCACGTAAAATTATATTATAAAACATCATATAAAAGTATTTCGCTGAATAGAAGGGTTTTTTCTATCTCATGATACAAGATTATATGAAGATATATTACTTATTAAATAATTGTGTGTGTGTACGTGTGTGTTCAGAAAAGCCTTCAAGACGTGTTACTTTTATTCATAATACTTTTTTCATTCGCAATCCATTATGCATTATATTACAATATTATAAAACATTTTGCGAAAATTAATTAATAATATAGAGTATGTGAAAAAATGTTCTGTGTATGTACAATAGAAATATTTCGCCTCTACGTATGTGTTTGGATATTATTATACCTACTTAAAAAAATATTATAGATTCTTTCTTTTTCAGGTACAACGAACTTTTTCACGTACAACGGAACGTGCTTAGTCTTTGCTCGCATTACATCTCGCCAACTACAGTAAACTTCCTCATTTCAAAGCGAGACACCAAAACGTTTGTTGTAACGAGTTTCGCGACGATTTATTCACGTCGAGAGTTAAAGGCGACACGGTGGCGTAAGGAGAGGAGCGACTAATTGGAAAACGCGCGGAACAATCAAGTCCTATTTCGCTGCACCGCGAACTTTCGCCAAGAATTCACTATTGTGCTAACGCCGAATGCAGTTCGCATGACTATGCTCGATATTTCTTGTTAAGTCTAAAGGGTTAGATCGTTACTGGAAATGTCAATTTGTCTGTTTGGAAAATGCAGAAAAAGAGAAAGAAGGAAGGAGGAACAATAAAAAGCGGGAGAGAGAGAGATATTCGGCGATTATTTCCAGTGTAAAAACCGACGATTTCCTATGTCAGGGAAATATTGCGGAAACTATTAAGGCAAGACCGCTGCGCGTCATTTCCTAGATCTCGTCCATCTCGACATGAGATCGACGCACATACAAGTTGAAAATAATTCGTGACAATGTGCAGCCAAATGCACGTGGAAAGTCCTGTGTACAAGTATAAATTTGCAAAATAATGTAAAAATGCAGTGGGATAACATTGGATTTGAGAATTGAAAATATGTACGTGAATAGATAAGTTTTCCCAGAGCAAACAAGAAGCGAAGAGGGAATACAAAGTTAGATAGTTAAGGGACTTCATACAGTGTGTAGAGAATGTACGCATATACATATAAAAGTATCTATCCCTCATATATATTTTTTTTATATAAGACATAATATTTTCACAACATACATATATATTTGTATACAATGAATTGTATTTTAGATTTTTCCAAAGTACATAAAGAAAACATACATAAAATGTAAAATACGTAAAGAAGTCCAGAAAGGATAGGATTCTTCATTATTTTCTGGTCTCTCATTTTCTCATTAGAGATAAATATATTTTTCATGGAATACTTTTACATATGGGAAATATGAAAATTATACATAGTTAAAAGAGATTTTCTGTCTACACACTTTTTAAATATAATCTTCGTCTACTTGTGCTTGTGGTGAAATAAGCTCATACTGCGTGGAGATTATATTGAAAAATAAAGGTATACAAAACATTCCTTTCATTCGTTATACGTAATATTCTCGCTTCGGGATAAACATGAAGAATGGAAGAAAGGCATTACATTTTCTGAATAAACTGCTGTAATGTAACTCTCTTCTTGCGGCTCCTTTTTGTGTTGTAAAATTATTCGAGAGGAAGAGTAACCATGCTTTTAAAAATATACGTAACGCAATCTTGTAGAAAGATAGCCCGTGTTCATAAAGAAAATTCATTTATATATATATTATGTATACAATATTATGCATTAATATTCATTGTTATTTTCATTATCATCGATTATCTCGAGTTACTGATGGAGATATTTAAGAACGATCCTTTCAATTCAGCCTTATTCTCGTACTTTTAAACTTTATTCCCGTATGGCTCAATTTCACTTTATCAAGATACACGTTAACTGCGAGTGGGAAAAGCGATATTGAGTATCGTGGGCGCAATATCATCGGGCCGATCATTTTTCCCGCCGTCCTGAGTGCAGATGATATAGTCAATTTCCAGCGTTATTGGTTTTTGGCTACCTTGCTACGAAGGCGAGTCTCCACCGTGAGGGCAGATTACTTTTTCAGTAACTCGTCATATTAATAAATAACGCGCTTTTCTGCGATGTTTATCGCTGTAATACGCACTTGTTATAATTGCATTAATAATATTTTATTAATATTTTCTTATTTGGTAACACATTTAGCAAATCCAGACTTATCATTTATCCCGTAGATTTAGATATGTGAAAAAACAAAGTTTATCTCACTCGATCTTATCCCGATCCTCTTATTAATATATTTCATACATATTTATACATGCACGGGAATACAATCATGACCAGTATTTTTATTCCACGTACTATCACATTGACTCTATCGAAAAATATTTTCTGGTTCTCCTATCCCGGATTTGCGATATCCCAGAACTGCACGATAGTTTTTCCAACGCGTACAAAAGCGATACCAGCCTGATGCATTATCGGCTTTCGGACGGTATATGACATTTTCAAGAGAACACATCAATATTTTATCGCAAGAATAGCCAATGTCATTTTTCTTGAAAAGACAATACTACGTACTTTTTTATTTTGACACTAATAATCCATTTTGACAAAGAGAGAGGGGGGGGGGAGATGTAAGTTCAAAATTACAATATGTATTCATCAAAAGTTAATTTTGATGAAAAAGAATGTATCTAAAATACATTCGCAAGTCTAAGTATTCTTAAATATAGCCTAAAATAAATAACATATTCTTAAAATTTTTTAATAAATACTTTTGAGATATTAATAAAACGGGATGCGAGTATCGTGGAACTTCTTAATTGTAAAACTTTAAAAATTACTAATTTTTATACAAACGTGTTAAACCTTATTTATCGCAAAATTATAGCTGCTAGTGAAAAAAATTTGAGACTGCACATTTTCTTACATACGGTAATATATTTAAGTACCTTTTAGATACTGGAGAGAATTTCAACGCAGGATCCATTCTTCAGCTTTCCTTTAAATCTCCGCAATTACGTCATCCGCAAAGCATAATGTGATACAAGCTATTTCCAGTTCATCAATAAATAATAACTGTATAATTATTTTACTGTTAATACGCCACTGATGCTTCCGTATCATTATACTAGAAATAGCATCAAATTTCATCATATACATACATTATTTATAGTCAACGAAGAAAGAAGTTACTTATAGTCACCAGTAATGATTAAGAATTAAAACAGGGAACTTGTAATAGTATTGTTACTTTTTTTTTATAAAAACATTTTGGCGATTTCTCGTTTCCTCGTTAGACGCTCGTTATGCAAAATTTTTATTTTTTGTTTCGACCAATTGAACTCATAGTCATGTAATACGAGATGTCTGCTAACGATTTGCAGTATTACTTGAAAAGGATCCAAAATAGGGTCGACACGTTGTATTTTGCTGAATAAAGGAATATGTCAGTTGGGTTGACTACAAGTGCCCTCTTTTAATTATATATAGTATTGAGCGCAACTGATTGTTAATATAACGATATATTGATGATAAAACGTTAAAATTGTATAGACCTGAAAATCAAACATAACTCTCAACCGGCAGAAATATTGCTTATTTAACCGAATCGAGGCGGTTTTCATTTCACAAGCAATTAAATTGAATGTTACGAATATTGACTCTATCCGAATGAGCCAAGGCAATTAAAAACATATTTGACAAAAATAAATGTTATTCTTTGATAAATAACCTTCAAGCATTTACGAGACATTTCTGGATAAAGAGGAATTTAATTATCCTTTTATAGCTTCACAATTTAATTTGTGGGAGGTTTAATTGTTTAATTGTGGAAGGTTAACTTTTCGCAGAAATATCTTTATAATCGAGAATATCTCTCTGTGTAAAAACTTTAGTATATTATTAAGTCATCAGAAAATCTTTATATTTAAACTCCTTGAAATGATATTAAGGCTGCAAATTTTATAAGTGAGGGAGATAATTTTTGACAATTCTCAATGCATCTCAATCTTGACATTTTCCACTTACCCCAATAAGATGTACCGTACCCAATAATATGTACCGTAATATGCACATCATCCCTGCATTAGTATAATTATTTTATTAACGGAGACTGTTGTACGACGATATAATATTTATGTCTCATCATTGACTGGAGAGGCTTTTATAACCACGTATTTTAGTATTAAACCGAGCGTTCGTATTTGTCAACATCCCACGATGGCTAGTAGCTATTTCTTGCATTTTACAAGATAATTCGGAGTGCATGCGAGATGTTGTTCGGTACGTTTCACGATGGCCCATTCGATAGAAAAGCTTCGAGATGTAAAAGGTTTCATGATTAATGTAATTGATCCATTCGCGTAGACAAAATAAATGGTTCGTGATACGAAAGCTTTCAGACCAATCCTTACGTATTAAATAGCCTTTATCCATATCGAGTTTTGAGTAAATTATTGAAAAACTAGAACTTTGATTATTTCTTGTTTTCTAGTATTTAGAATTTCTAGTGTGCATTTTTACTTCTTGCATTATTTACTTTCATCTTCGACTTTTCGAATACAGCCTGTCAAGTGCTCAACAAGTCGCTAAATAGACGCGATAGGCGGGACATTGACGTGCCAAGGAAATTACAAATTACGTGAGTACGGATTATATCAGAGATAAGGATGGAGAATATAAGAAAACCGAAAAAAGGCCGAGCACGTCTGAATTCCGGACGTACGGCGAATAGACGTTCTCGTGAAATGTCACGAGCGCGCAAAGAATAACGCTCGAGTGCAAAGAGGAGAGACAAAGAGATCAAGAAGAAGGAGCAAAACGCTGGGAGAAGAAGGCGAAACAATTGCTCTGGGACTTCTGGCCACTGAGAGATAAAAAATTTCGAAGGACTGAATCCCGTTGTCATCCTTCTTCCAACATCCTTGGGCACGCGCTTCGTGAACTTTTCCTGTGTTCTGC